TGCTATGAGTATGTGTCTGGGATCATATGTATGATTTGCACAACAAGAGTTAGTTGTTTCTATGATTAGATAAGAGATTTTATATGAGTCCACTGAACATCAGAAAAACATCTGGAAATCTTAGGCTACTGAGGTGAGACTCAGCATTCACAGATGTTATGAAAGAGGCTATCACTAGGTGACAATCATCACTGGCATCAGTAATTCTTCAGAAATGAAAATTTTTATTACTTATGAAACACCATGATATTAATAGATTTTCTAGGGAAGAAATGAAATTTCCAGTCATTTTAGTTAATTTTTTAGCCCTAGTTAAAATGATATTGTTGGTAAAACACTAGACAGCTCTCATAAGCTGAGCATTAATCATGAGAATATAGATACATTGCCTCACCCCAGGTGTGGGGACAGAGCCACTTCTTCACTGTTTTTGAAGCTAATCGACAGATTTTGTACTGATCCTGTGCTTACATTGTTCCTAAAATGCACACAGATAAATTCTACCCTCAGAAGTTGGAAAATGGCTGATTCATTGATAGGCGAATGTGTTTTCCTATGTACTCACAGAAGAATCACTATCCTTAGTTATTGCATCTACATGCTTCTGCAGGGGACAGATGGCTGTGGGAGGGATCCCACACTGAAGCATGACAAGTGTGGCATACATGACTGCACAGATGCTTCAGATTCCCCCCAAAGTGAGTACATGTGTTAGATGTCACAAGCCCTTGGAATTTTCAGTAATAAATATATATATTAGAAACTTTCATGTCAACACATACTGTCAAACCTTGTAAATTATAATTCTTAACTCAATTACTTGAATTTCACCTCAATTAAAATTCTTCAGTTCAATTCAGGTTGATTTTAATCTTGTTTTCCATTCTCTGACATAATATGATGACACTCATACCACTGCGATCTGCTGTTTTTACCCTGCCATTTTACAAATATAATCCTAGACTTAGAAAGTCTTGCAGAACTCAGCTTTGTGACTGAGTTTTGACTGTATGTGAAATGACTGTTCACAAGAATTCTTTTTGCTAAAGAGAAAATAATCTCCGACCTTCCCTGGACAAAAGTAGGAAGCAGAGAATATACAAACACAGCAAAGGGATAAGAAACTAGTGATGTGGAGAAGGTGGAGGATAAAGCCTTATAAACTGAAGTAAAATTACATAGGGGAACCATCTAAGAATAGCTATAATTCATCTGATATATATATATATATATATATATATATATATATATGTATATATATAGATGTGTGTGTGTATTGAGATTTTGTTTTATTTTTACTTATACCTAAAATTGTGTGTGTGTGTGTGTGTGTGTATGTGTGTGTGTGTGTGTGCATGTGTACACATGAGTGTAGATGCCTGCAGAGATCAGAATAGAACACTGGATCCCTGAAGTTGGATTTACAGCAATTGTGAGACACCTGATGTAAGTGCTGAGAACCAAACTCAGGTCTTTTGCAAGAGTAGCATGTGCTCTCAGCTCCATAGCCATTTCTCCAGCATTTTTCTGCTAGAGTTTTCCTGCCTTGCCCACACTCAGGACAAATCTTTGTCACCCACCAGTCCAATAGCCTCTCAGACTCAACCAAGTAAACACAGAGACTTATATTGCTTACAAACTGTATGGCCATGGCAGGCTTCTTGCTAACTGTTCTTATAGCTTAAATTAATCCATTTCTATAAATCTATACCTTGTCACATGGCTGGTGGCTTACTGGTGTCTTCACATGCTGCTGGTCATGGCGGCAGCTGGCAGTGTCTTTCTGCCTCAGCCTTCCGCTTCCCAGAATTCTCCTCTCTCCTTGTCCCACCTACTTCCTGCCTGGCCACTGGCCAATCAGTGTTTTATTTA